CCTCCCTCCTACTCCAAATTCAACCCCACTCACTCTATTACTGCTAGAATAATGCTTTCAAAATATATGTCACACCACTCCCCTACTCAAAGCTTTCCAAATGGCTTCTAATCACACTTCAAATAAAATCCACAGTCCTTACCCTGTGGCCTCCCAGGGTCCTGGATAGCCACTTCCATTTGTGCCAACCATAACTCAGGGCCTTTGCACTTATGTCCTCTCTCTGGGAAGGTTCCTCCCAAAGATCAGCACTGGGGTGGATTCTTCACTTTTTTTTTTAGGTGGAGAACCTTCAGACTAGGGATAGAGAGATCCCTAGTTTGGGGATTCGACACACCCTCGTTGTTACTGATGCCTGCCTATCTTCGGATCAGGTGTTCTAGGCCATCCCACGTCAGTGATGAAGGTGCTAAAGTGAACACAAGCCCCTCCAGGGGAGAGTGCAAGTGGGATGACCTTTGGTGATTGTTTCGGTTAGGATGCATCGGGCAGCAAGTTATGCCAATGGGACTCCCTGCGGCTTAAACCACGACGACAGTTACTATTTATTCAGCCAGAAGCCCATGGCTCGTCACAGGCTTGCTCTGCAGCTCTGCGAGGGGATTCGGCTCTTCCTCCTTGTCTGCTTCGCCAGCCTCTGTTTAAAGGCTTTCTTGCGCCGTGCTCCTCCGAGTCGCCAAACACCCACCGCAGCCCCCTGCAAAAGCACCTCGGCCCTCCCGGGGGAAACTCAGCGCCAGGGCCCCCCCCGTACACGCCCCTTCGAGCTCATTGGCCGGGATTTGGTCACGTGCTGACACACGAGCCAATTGGGCAAAGGAGAAGAAGGAGTGCTGTGATTGGCTTAGACCAGTGGGCACATTGATCCCTGGGGGACAAGTTCTGAGGGCCGCGTGGATGCACAGCTGCTTTTACACCATTAATTGATAGGCAGCCTCGTACTTACACGGGCCTTCCGATTGCCGGAGAAAGCATCTGTGCTCTCAATCCTCCTGCACCCCCTTACCAGGGACAGAGGCTTACTCTGAACTCATCGCAATTCTCGCCGTTGCGTCTTGCCCTGGGGTAGAACCGGTAACTCTGCTCCAAAACCTCCGTGGATGAGTAAATGCCATTCTTTCGTGTCTGGCTTAGACGTGTCTCCTAAGGCTGAAGTTTGGCCTGGGTGGAAATGCGCTGATTTTAGAATAACCAAAGAAGTGAAATTTACCAACACCGATTCACTTTTTACTTTTAGGTATTTTCCCCAGTTCTTCTAAATGTCTCAAGATACTTTGAAGAACATCCACGAATACGTTTTTAAATGCAATTTCTTTCAGATTTGGTCTCCTTAATCAATAAGACAGATACACATGTATGGTATTCAGTTATGTCGGAGTGTATTCATTCCAATGAGAGCAAATCCTCATTTCATTTTAAAACCCTCAGTTTATTTATTTATTTAATTATTTTTTAAAAGATTTTATTTCTTTATTTGAGAGAGAGAGAATGAGAGATAGAAAGCATGGGAGGGAAGAGGATCAGAGGGAGAAGCAGACTCCCCGCTGAGCAGGGAGCCAGACTCGGGGCTCGATCCCAGGAGGCTGGGGTCACGATGTGAGCCAAAGGCAGTCACTTAACTAACTGACTGAGCCACCCAGGTGTCCCTAAAACCCTCAGTTTAAAAAAGATGTCCATTTAAGCCTATGATGAAACTTTCCAATGTCAACCTAAGTCAGGATACAATCCTTTGGCTTGGGCACAATCCTCTCAGGAGAGTCTCCAAAGTTGGATTTTGTGGCATTCCTAGTAGGTGGGTAGCTCTGAGTCAGTGTGACTTCCCTGCTGCATCTTAGCATCCTGGCATTTGTTTCTATGTGTACAAAGAAATATCATGCTTTGGCAAGAGAGGAGAAAAATGAGATTCATAATGTCAAAAGCATGTGGGACTTTCAGATAACCCGGACTCGTACCCCAACTATGGGGCCATTCCTTTTCCAGATCATCAGTTTGGGCGTTTTTGGAAAACTCTTTGCTACTTCCAAATACTCATGCTTTTCTCTTGAAGCTGCTTTCAACATATTCCAGGGGACTCAATATGTTTTCATCATTTCCTATATTGGTTAATGGTCACTTTATAATAGCGAGAGCTCTGAAAGATGGAAAGCCTAACTTGATGCACACCAGGGTGGGAGAAATAAAAAGGAATGTAGGCGAGCTCATACGTGAGGGAGCAACAGGGTGGATTCCAAAGAAATGACCGGGAGGTCGGCCCTCTGATGAAGTGTGAGTGCATCTGGCCTGGCAAATTTCGGTATTCTGTTAAAAGTTTTGACTAGGAGGGGGAGGCACAGATCAGGAGTGTGGTGTATTAATAGTATCAATCTAGGGGCTCTCAGTGCCTCAGTCAGTCAAATCTCCAACTCTTGATTTCAGCTCAGATCATGATCTCTGGGTCATGGAGCCTGCTTAAGATTCTCTCCCTCTGGGGCTCCTGGGTGGCTCAGTCAGTTGAGTGTCTACCTACCGCTCAGGTCATGATCTCAGGGTCCTGGGATCAAGTCCCGAGTTGGGCTCTCTGCTCGGTGGACAGTCTGCTTCTCCCTCTCCCTCTGTGCTCTCTCTCTCTCTGGCTCTCATGCTCTCTCTCAAGTAAATAAATAAAATCGTAAAAAAAAAAAAGATTCTCTCCCTCTTCCTCTGTGCCCTGCCCCCATGCACACACTCTTTCTCTCTGTCTCTCTCTCTCTCTCAAAAAAAGTACCAATCTAGATCCTTAAATCAAAAATAAGCAACAGGTACAGAGGGAAAAGGGGAATTGCAGAGACGCAAGGAAGGTTGCACATAGACAGACAGTTTAAGGTTCTTGGTCAGGAAGGGCTCTTCCAGCAATGTTCCCATTTTATTTATTTATTTACTTATTTATTTTTAAGATTTTATTTATTTGTTTGACACACAGAGAGAGAGGGACAGAGAGAGCACAAGCAGGGGGAGGCGGCAGGCAGAGGGAGGAGAAGCCGACTTCCCATTGAGCAGGGAGCCCGATGTGGGGCTCGATCCCAGGACCTCGGGATCGTGACCTGAGCCGAAGGCAGACACTTCACCAACTGAGCCACCCAGGTGCACCAGTGTTCCCATTTTAAATGGGAAGAACTTTCTTGAATTTCTTTCTCTTCCCCCTCTCTGATCTTGTAAAGAAGGATATGGGGCAGCAAGGTGAGGCCTGAAAAGGTATTGCCAAAGGTGTGTGTGTGGAAGTGTTGATATTTTGGCTATAGCTTACCTCTCCTTTGGGTTCCCCTACAGATGCTGTGCCTGGTTGGGTGGGCCAGGCTGAAGGGATTAAGAATGAATCAAGTGGCCATCAGGTGTATAAATCCAGTCCTCTGCCCGCTCCATGAGAGTTGGCCAATCCCCTCATCAAACTCTGATTTGCATGGCCCTGGAAGGCGAGGTCTATGCTTTACATAGCAGAACCCCCTTGCCTAGCCCACGGAGGCACACACTAGGCATTTCTGAATGAATGACTCTTTCTTGAGCTCCTCCTATGGATCAGGCTTTGGGAACCCTGGTGAACCGGTGAAACAAGGATTTTGCTCCTGTTGAAAAAAACCATGAATCCTTCAAAGATGAATCTCCTTCTGGGTCAAGATGAACTCATGCCTTCACAAGGGTGGTAACTCAAACACAGAGCCAGATGAGATGCTGGCCCTAGGACTTGGAGGTCAGGAAGCCAGGTATCCTGGAAGTCATGTTTATATAGCAAGCATCCTGTTTTAGATTAGAACCTATGTTTTTTTCGTGGTGATTGAGAGATGGAAGCTGTTTCTGATTTAGTGATGGGGTTGCTTCATAAAACTCCAACACTGCAAAAAAAAAAAAAATGTGCCTGGGAGAAGCTGACTGGGTTATTGGGAGAATAAGTTACAAGGAATGTGGGAAGGTCCGTAGCACAGTGCCAACCCACGCACAGTAGGAGTGTAATAAATTAACCTTCAAAATATACCCCAAGTCTCATTTTTCTATTTCCACATCTGCCACCTGGTCCAGCCACCATCATCTCTCTCTCTCTCTCTTTTTAAAAGATTTTATTTATTTGACAGAGAGAAAGAAAGAGAGCATGAGCAGGGGGAGTGGGAGAGGGAGAAGCAGACTCCCCGCCAAGCCGGGAGCCCCATGTGGGGCTTGATTCCAGGACCTTGGAACCATGACCCCAGCCGAAGGCAGACGCCCAACCAGCTGAGCCACCCAGGCGCCCCACCATCATCTCTTTCAACATCATCCTAACTGGTCTCCCTGCTTCTATACCTGCTCCCTGAAATCTATTCTCAACTCAGCAGCCAGAGGAATTCCTATTACAGCTACAGTCAGAACATGACCCTCTTCTGCTCAAAACCTTCAGCGGTCCCATCTTGCCCATCGTAAAAGCTGGTCTTCATTGTCCTTAGGAGCCACTTGTGCGGCCACTCTTCCTTCATTGACTTTATCTTCTACTCCAGGTCTCTCAAGTCAAAGAAAAAGGCTGGACCCTTTACTAGTTCTCTAACCACACCCAACACTCCTGCTCAGGGCCTTAGCACCTGCTGTCATCTCTGCCTGGAAACTTTCCCCCAGATACTGAAGAGCTCATTACTCCTGTCACCTGCTTCAAGTTGGTGGCAGACGTCACCTTTTCAATGGAATCTTCCCTGACGACTCTATTTAAATAGAAACACTCCTTCCGTCTTTTCTATCCTTCCCTGCTTTCTTTCCATAGTACTTAATACCTTTTATTACATGAATAACTGTACACGTATTATTTATACGACACTCATTGGTATACTACATATTTCACTGCATGCATTATACTATGTATGACGTATATACGACATCTTCTTCGTCCCTTATCCCCTGTTGACACAAGGCAGGAACTTTGCTTCGTTCACTGCTGTATCCGCAAAGCCCTGCACCGTGCCCGGCACCCAGCAGGCGCTCCGTCAATAATCCGCAGGAAGAACAAATCAATAGCGAACGAATGAGCACAGGAACCGGCCAGCGCCTCTCGGCTTCCCGTGCTGCTTTAACCCCTTGCCGTCCCAGGTGAGGATGGGGAGCCCGGGCGCAACGCGCCTGCGCAACTCCACCCACCGCGCGCGGGTTCGAGTCCCGGCCGCGGTAGGGCGCGGCGGGGAGCACTCCTTTGCGAGGTTCGGCAGCGGCGGAGGGTTACACGCGGAGGGGCGGGGCCTGGCAGGGGCGGGGCCCGGCAGGGGCGGGGCCGGCCGGGGATCCCGCAGACGCGCCCGCGCCGCGCTCAGTCGTGCTGCCTGCCACCCGTCGGTGCCGCTCACCCGCCGCCCCGGGACCCTGCCGCTCCGCCTGCCGCCCCCCGCCCGGTCCCACCCCCGGTCCCGGTCCCAGCACAGTCCACGCCGCCCCCCGCCGCAGCCATGTCCAAGCAGCCGCGGTCCGGCCGGGAGGAGATCCTGGAGTGCCAGGTGATGTGGGAGCCTGACAGCAAGAAGAACACGCAGATGGACCGTTTCCGGGCGGCTGTGGGCGCCGCCTGCGGCCTGGCGCTGGGTGAGTGCGGGCACGCGGCCCGGGGGCTCCGCGGCCACCACCGCTCCCCCCGCCCACCGGGCCGTGGCCTCCAGAAGTCTGGCTCCCCCTCGGGGTCCGAAGGGCCCCCTGGCAGAGGGACCCCCTCCTGGGGACCGGGGCGCCCCCTTCTCCGGGGCGTTGCTGTCAGGGCCCCTCCTGGTTGTTGGAATAATCCCCTGATTCTCAGTTTCCCTGTTCCGGGGCTTGGAGGAGCCCCTGGCAGTGGAGGCCCTCTCTCCAGGGGGTGGGGCACCTTCTGACGGTGGGGTTTTGCCCCCTTGTCTGTGCAGGACTCCTCCTGACTGTAGCATCTATGTCCCCGGCAGGGGTCTTCACCCGCCCCCGCTCGCCCCCACCCCTCCCGGGCCTTGGAACCTCTGGGGACTGAGATCCCTTGCTAGTCTTCCTACTTGTGAGGTGAGGGGCTCCTGGGGTCTTGCACTGTGGCCTGGGGGGGGGCTTCCTCCCAGACATAGGGTCTTTCTGACTTGTAGCTCTTCTCCTATGTTTGTGGGGGGGTCCCTTGCCAGCCAGTAGCCCCTTGTGTTGTGTCCCCTCCTAGGCCCCTCATCTTGAGCTTACTAAAGGGCTGCCATGGAATTCAGGCACCTAGGAGAAAGACGGTCAGGTAGAGCCTTTGGGATTGGGGCGAGACTCCTTCCCCTCCTGTTTACGCTCGCAGCCTGCTGCAGAACCTAGCCACGGGCCCTCCCTCCAGCCACCACCCTGGCTCTCAGAAACAGCCTGGCCTGGCTGCATGTGGGCTGGGCAGACGAGGCCCTTTTTCTGGGTGAGAAGCACCTGCACGTGCTTCCCTCTGGCTCTGGCTGGCTTGTCCGACTTCCTGCAGGACATTTCCCACCTTCAGGGGTTTTTAGCTCCTCACAGCCACTTTCCTCCCCTTCGTGGCCCTCGGCTGGCTTCTGGGACTCCTGTGTTCCTGTCGGTGGCATCACCGTTCTCAGTAATCCTCACAGAAGTGGAGACTGGGTCGTCTGCCCTGCATAGGGGAGTCCTCAGCAACACTGCCTTCCTTCTTAATCCCCCCTTTTTGTGGGGGGCCCTTGTTCCCTCTACCCCGAACACTGGCTGGTTTCCTGCTTCCTGCTTTTCCTTCCTCCTCCCTTCTGTACACCCTGCTTGCTTCGCCGGAGCACAGGTCTGACTTTGTCACTCCTTGGCTCAGAGGCTCACAATGGCCCCTTGTTGACCGTGAAATCGCACAGTGCCACCTGGCAGCTTCCAAGCCCTCCACCGTAGGATGGGTGTCATAGCTTCCACTGAGCCCCTTCCCTTGGCAAACCCAGCTCTCTCGCTCTCCCTCCCTCCTGCTCACTAGACAGGGAGCACCTTGGAGACAGATGTGGCTTATTACTTGGGGGCCTTCCAGGTAGTAGTGGGTAAATAATGTGTGTCTGGTTGGGGGAGAACAGACCTGATTCCTTCTCCCCCAAGAAGAGCCAGGAGTGGAACATTCGCCTGTGTTACCTCCCCTCGATTCTGTCTCTTTCCCCTGCTGGCAGTAGTATAATATTCTTCTCCTGTGCTTAACTAGCCGTGGCACTTTAGGAAGTGATGGCACATGAGTTGTGAGGTGGGTGAGACACATCCGACCTGACTACCTGGATTTCGAACTGGCTCCACCACTTCTTTGTGATCAGGAGGAAGTCACCAGATCTTCCCTGAGTCTCACTTTCCCTGGCTGTAAAATGGGCATGATGAGAGGACCTGTGTCAGTGGGTGGTATGAGGGTGACAGGAGGCCCTCAGGCCCAGCGGTCACCTGCACCTGGCTGGTCCGTGGGTCGCTGTGTAAACACTCCTGAGCACTCCCAGTCGGCCTGCTCGGGGCGGTGGGCTGGGGGTCCAGGCCCAGACTGGACCTGAAGACTTGGCTCAGGTGGCTCACACACTGGGAGACTGCATAGGGAAAGCAAGATTTCCAACTTGTTTTGAAAACCCAAAGGTCTGTGATGCTGCGTCTGTGTCACCATGTGGTGGCAATAAGCTAGACTGAGCGGGGTTCTCCTCTTGGTCTGGGGGAGCTTTAGAGCTTGATGTTTGTCTCTCTCTCTTTTTTTTTAAAGATTTTATCTATTTATTTGACAGAGACACAGCGAGAGACGGAACACAAGCAGGGGGAGTGGGAGAGGGAGAAGCAAGCTCCCCGCTGAGCAGGGAGCCCGATGCGGGGCTCGATCCCAGGACCCTGGGATTATGACCTGAGCCGAAGGTAGACGCTTAATGACTGAGCCCTCAGGCGCTCCTTGGTGTTTGTCTTTTACTCTTCCACTCCTGATGGTTGAGCCAGCCTGCTGCTTCCAGAGGCCCAGCCCTGGCGGTTTTGGGCTTTAAGAGCCAACTCACATGCTGCCTTGTTTTTGATCATTGTCTTTGAATGTTTTCTCCTTTCATCTGCTCTCCAAATGCATGTAATTTGGACTTTCATTCTGCCTCGTCTTTCCATTAATTTGTGAGTATTCTAGTCGCTTCAAGACTGCACACTTGAACTTGTACTCCCCCCCACCCCCCGGGGTCTTGTGTGTAGTTGGTATGCAGTCTTGAGCAATGCTGTCGCTCGCATGTACAGAGAGAGAGCAAAGTACGCATCTTCACGGGTCGCTTCAGTTGTGCTCTGGTTCCGAGGTTGGACGGCTGGGGGCCATCCTCCCGCCTGGCCACCTGGCCATGAGCCCAAACCCCCAGACCGAGGTTGGCGTGAGGTCTCTATCCCCGCCGTTCAGGAGCTGCCCGATCTGGGTGAGCTTACTTATTCTCTTTCCCGCACCCAGGGCCATTGCTTGGTTTATTGTCACTGCTTCTAGCGGAGCTCACCTGAGGGCTCCCTGCCAAGCCCACGTAGACCTGGGGGCCCTCAGGATGCGAACCCCTTATGGAGCAGCCCACAGCTGCAGCCCAGCATTTGTGCCTGTGGTGTGAGGCCTCTTTTGCAAGACCCCAGGGCGCATGCTACACGCACCAGCCCCCCCCGCCTTGATTAGGGGAGGGACACCCCCTTCAAAGCACCTGCTGGTTTGGTGGCCTGTGCCACGTGTCTTCCGGTGTACCACAAGCTACAGCTCAGTTCAGTGTTGGAGCAGCTGGGACATCGTTTGCCCACAGATTGAAGGCTTGCTCCCTGTTCTCAAATAGCTCAAGTGTAGCTGGAGGAGAAAGCTCGTGCGGGCTAGCAGTGCGGCGAGTGAATCAGGGCCGAGCGCCAGCGCACGGCAGCCTGCTGTCGCCTCCCGGGCGCCCCAGGGCGTGTTGGCTCTGGCAGACAGGATCCTGAGCTGAGACTTGGAGGTGTAGGCTGGTCAAAAGTCTCGTAGGTGGAGAGGAAGAAGAGGGTGAAGGGAAAGCAAGACTTGCACATTCAGATGCCTACGGGGACCCAGAGGGTGATGGGCATAGTACCAGTCAACTTAGTGGGTGCTTTTTTTGTTTTTAAAGATTTTATTTATTTATTTGAGAGAGAGAGAATGAGAGATAGAGAGCACGAGAGGGAAGAGGGTCAGAGGGAGAAGCAGACTCCCCGCCGAGCAGGGAGCCCGATGCGGGACTCGATCCCGGGACTCCAGGATCATGACCTGAGCCGAAGGCAGTCGCCCAACCAACTGAGCCACCCAGGCGCCCCCTTAGTGGGTGCTTTACACACGCATCCGCCGACTCCATCCTCAGTAACCTGGCCAGGTAGGTGCTGCTTTCACCCCCTTTCCCCAGCTGGGAAAACGGAAGTTCAGTCCTGGTTGGGTTGTCGCAGCTGTGAGTAGCCCGTCTGTAGTCTGTTTCTGGAATCATTAGTCTGTGCCGCGGTATGTGGCCTTGGGCATGTGGGTGAGGGTGGGGCGCGGCTGTCACCCAGCTCTGTAGTTGCTTGTCACTACGTGGTGGGATGGTGCCTTAGTGATCTGGGAGAGCAAGGCGGGGGCTGCGCTGTTGGGAGCTGGCCTCAGAAGTCGCCCTTGGTCATTTCCATACTATCCTGTTGGTGACACGGATGAGTCCTGCTCAGTGTGGGGAGGGAACAGCACAGGGAGGTGAGGGCAGAGGTGAGAAACGGGAGCCAGTCACAGCTGTTCTCTTGTCTCAGGAGAAGGCAGCGACACTGAATTTCATTTGAAACCTGACTTTAGTACGTTGACAGCTAGTTCCAGTTCTTCACGAGCAGCGTGCAGCCTGAACCACACAGGCCTGTGGCGGATCATCCGGGCTTTGGGATGCTGCCTGTGAGTGGGGGCCAGGAGTGTGTGAGCAGGAGCCGGAAGGGCGTGTCTGAAGAGGGGTCCCCGATGACTTGGCTGGGTCGTCAGCGGTGGAGAAGTCTCTGCACCGAGTCCTTCCGTTTCTCTGCTGTCCTCTACGGTCCTTGTGATGTTGGGTTGCTGTCGAGACCACTCAGTCCCCAGATTGGCAGGCGGGTGGCATCTTCCTCCCTCGCGGATGCTGCTGGTGACTCACTCTTGATGGGCTTTTGTAGTCTTCAGTGGAGGTGTGGGTGTGAAGCCTCTGGTCCATCTCTTGTGTGAGCCTGAAGGAATTTTTGGTGCCGGAACTATTTGCCCTTTGCGAGGATCAAGGTGACCAAAAACAAACAAAAGACTGGGAGAGAATGGAGCTGTGGGCCTGTTTGCCTAGTGCGGGCAGGGTGGAGGCTCCCTCTCCCGCCCCCCCTTCTGGACCCGGAGTCCTGCTCATTAACACTTCCATGTACTTGCACAGCCCGTCCTGTCTGCTAGCCCGCTGTGGGTCGTGCTTCTGCAGGATGTGACCAGCAGTGGCTGCAGTGGCTGTCACGCCGGGTACTTTCTCTCTGCCAAGCACTGTTCTTAGTGCTTCATGTGTTCTGACTGTTTCAGTCCTGACAGTGACCCTGTGACAAGTACCATTCTCTTCCTTTCATGGAGGAGAAGCTGAGGTCCAGAGATGATTGATTACTCATCTGAGCTCACATGGAAAGTGGCGGGATCTGAACCCGGATTGTTGCACTCTGGAGCCTTTGTCTTTAAGCAACATGCTCTACTGCTCCTCGGGGTCACTGTTGTTATTCCCATCTTGCAGTTGACAATGCCGAGGCTCAGAGGGTGGAGCAGCTTGCCCACCGTCATTGTGTCGTAAGTGGCAGAGCCGAGATTCTAATGCAGGTCGTCCAGCCCAACCCTGGAGCGCAGTGTTACCTCTCCACGGTCATGGGGGCATCCATGCCCTCCTCCAGTCAATTTCCAGGTGACACACAGGGAAACTGAGTCCCCAAGACTGGCCTACCTGAGGTCCCCAAGCGTGGTCTCTAGAGTCAGGGTTGGCCCCAGCCTTCCAGATGCCCGGTCCCTGGCGTTTTTCCCTGCATGCTTGGTGGACCTGCTCTCTGGCCCCTGGCGTGAGTAGGTGGGTGGGGCCGGAGGGCCGTTCTCCTGGGGCTTGGAGGAGGTGGCCTGAAGCCCCCGTTCCCTGATCACTGTACGACCTCTGTCCTGCCTCTCCGCATTTCATCCAGGTGACCCATCTCCATCCCTGCTGCAGACCCACTCACTCCAGCACTCTTTAACTGGGCTCTTGGCTTCCTCCCAGTGTCCTGACCCTGCCCTTGCTGCCAGGGCCAGCCCCTCCTCCTGCAGCATGCTCCTGCTCTCAGAGATCTCTCCCTTCCTCTGTGTGCTCCCTCCCTGGCCCCCAGGGCTGGGAACAGGGAGGACCATTAAGTCTTTAGCTGACGGATGGCAGCGAGAGAATTCAGCCCAGCCATCATATTAGGCCATTTTTTTCTGTTCCTGACACCTGCTGGTCATCTTCCTCCTGTTACCACATCCTTGGAGCACCAGCATATGAATGGAGAGCCTACCGAAAATATGTGGCGATTAAAAAGGCCCAGTGAGGGGCAGCGACTTTCCCCAGGATTGGAACCAGGTGGGAAGAAGAGCGAGTTTTCATTTGTGTGAAAGCCGGAGAGAGGGATGTATTTACTCATACATAAAATCTGGAAGGACACACAAATCTCTTTAACTGGTTACTTCTAGGTAAGAAAAGTTAGATGATTGTGGGGCAAGATGGAGAGACTTTTCCTGAATGACCTTCTGCACTTCTGTTACCTTGAATCATATGGCTTATTCAAAAATCAAAATAAATACCTGTTCCTCTCTCCCCCAAACATTGTTACTGGCACAAGAAGTCATCAATAAGCTCCTAGTTTTGCACTTCTGTGTTTTCAAATCTATTGGATATGACTTTCCTGTTTGTATGGTGTAATAATAGCAAGCTTAATGGAGTTCTGATTTGGTCCAAGGTCCTGTTCTAGCATCTGTCTCATGCATGTGCTTATGCTCATTTAAATGCTCCCAATAGCCCTGCCAAGAGGGGGTGCTATTAACCATCTCCATTTCACAGATGGGGAAACCGAGACACAGTTTGCTCAAGTAACCTCCACAAGGTCGCACAGCTAATAACCGGCCAGGCCAGGATTTGCAGCCAGGACTTCTGGCTCCAGAGTCCATGTTCTTAGGCACGCTGGCTATGATATGGAACCACTGCCCGGCAGTGGTGGGTTTGCTCTGGGGGGTAAGAATTGGGATACCCCACCTCCCCCAGACCATTTCTTGTCAGACACCTTCAAACCGCTCAGACATAACTGTTAATTCCTTACGTGTGTCCCCGTCTTCTTATTGGACTGCCAAGACTTTCTAAGATTGGTTTGAGCCATGTGCCATTTTATTTTGTTTTTAGAAAATTATGATGACTTATACCACTGGTCAGTTGAATCCTATCCAGACTTCTGGGCGGAGTTCTGGAAATTCAGTGGAATTGTCTTCTCACGCATGTATGATGAGGTAAGTAGGGATTTTACTTATGCATTACCTTTTTATGGTTATGTTCCAAAATAAAGTGTTTGTTTTTGGGAATACTGAATCATATTTTCTTTTGACGCCTCGCATCAGTGGGAAAAAGTCATTGTTCTAGAGAGTTGGCAGAAAATTGTGTTGAGGTCACAGACTCCATGGAGACCAGGCAACCTCTGGACTCTGTGATGTGTGGACCTCAGGCCCTGTCCTGGGAACTTGGGCGATTCTACATGCAGGGCATCACCGTTTTATTTTTATTTTATCTTAAAAAAATTTTAATTGTGGTAAAAGACACATAACACAATTTACCATCTTTTTTTTTCCCACAATTTACCATCTTAACCATTTTGAAGCGTCCAGTTCCATGGTGTTATTAAATACATTCACATTATTGTTCTTTTTTAAATTGTCAGTAGTTTTATTATTTTTTAAACCTGGAGTTCAGGGAACGTTCTGACGCCTCATGCTGTCCGTCAATCTGGGGAAAGTGGGTCCTGTTACTCAAAGTATAACTTAATTGTGTTTTTGTGTGACTGTGGGGTGAACTGTTCTGAGAGGCTCACCTGTATATGCACTTGGGGAAGGATATCGAGGTTCCAGCCCATGGAGGAAGGAGGCTAGGGGCCCGGCTCCGGCTCTGGGGGGTTGCGGTGGGAGGGGCGGGTGGGTCCTGGAGCTCCGTCTCCCAGATTTCAGTGTGTGTGGTCAGAGCCTGCGGCATTGGGCAGGTGCCCACCTGTCTTACTTACTTTCTGGCACCTGCACCTCTCATAGAGTAGGTGCTTCATACAGGTCTGCTGAAAGAGTTCATTTGTGGGGATGCTGTTTTCCCTTGGCATTCATTTCCTTTTTTTTTAAAAAAAAAAAAACACCTCATGGGGGAATAATTAGCCATGAAACCGTACCTATTTAAAGCGCCCAAGGTGACGATCTGATATACAGACACACTGTGGGATTAACACACCCATTGCCTCACTTTCCCTGTGGTGAGAACGCTGAAGATCTCTTCCCAGCAACTTGCACATGTGAAATCCTGTCTTGGAACTGTCAGTTCCAAGCCTGGAGGCCAGTCCAGTGCTCAGTCTATGAAACGATCTAATGAGGCCTTGGGCCAGTGAGTTAGTGGGCTTCCCGGGAAGCAGAGTCACTTGTATTTATTCCTGGTGTAGATCTCATCTGGGTGCGTGTCTTGGTTTGCTGTCGTTCTCGGTAGGTTGTGGACACATCGAAAGGAATCACAGATGTCCCCGAGTGGTTCAAAGGCAGTCGTCTAAACTACGCGGAAAACCTCCTGCGGCACAAAGACAATGACCGAGTCGCCCTATACGCTGCAAGTGAGTCCTCATGGCCCCAGTGCATTTCCCTCTGTCCGCATCCTGTGCCACGCACACGAAGGGCCACGTGGCTGGAGGGGCTGCAAACATCCAGATTGCCGGGTGTGTTTTCAAACGATGTTCTGGCACTTTTTTTATTGTGGTAAAAAGTGGGTAACATTAAATGTACCGTCTGGACCATTTTTAAGCATCCAGTTCCGTAGTGTTGGGTGCCTTCCCGTTGCTGTGCAGCAGCTCTGCAGAACGGTTCCACCCTCCCCCTGTTTCGGCATGGTGTCCTCAGAGTCCATCCGTGTAGTCGTGTGTGATAGGATTTCCTACCTTTCTGAGGCTGTATGTATTCCCTTGTTTGGATACCCCACATCTTGTGTGTCTGTTGATCTGTCACGGGGCACCTGGGTCACGTTCACCTCCTGGCTGTTGTGAATAGGCTATGACAAACATGGGTGTGCACAAAGCTCCTTGAGGTCCAGCTTTGGATCCTTTTGGGTAGATACCCAGAGGTGGATCGTATGGCGACTCTAAGTTTAATTTCCCGAGGAACCTCCTCCATACTGTTTTTCTGTAACGGCTGCCCTTGGCACCTTTCCGACATCATTAAGACCTCTGTTGACTTTTTCTTCTTGCTGAGAAAGGGAGGGGACATTCATGTGATCATGTTTTATGGGAGAAATTGAGACACCAAATATGAAGTAACCAGCTCAGAGTCACCGGGACAGTTAGTGAGGGAACTACAGCTAGAATCTCTGCCTGTTGACTTCTCTTTAAAAAAAAAAAAGTTTAAAGAATTTTCTAATTTATGTACTAAGCAGGTTCCAGAAGAGTTGCCATAAAATATTTGAAATAAACGGGGAGTTTCCTTAGTAAGGAGACACTGTGGTTGGCCTCCTAATTAATTAGGTTTTTGGTAAGCCTGAAGTTTTGTAAAAAAGTAACATTGGATTTATATTGTATTGGTTAAGGTTTGAGGTGTTTCACGGTGGATTTTCCAGATGACTATGTTTTTCTCCTTTGAGTGATAAAGCTTTACTTACTCATTTTAGACACAGCATGTGCTACTTGGGTTGTGAGGAAATAGGGCATCCGCAGAGGAGACTGAACTTCACTGGACCTTTGGTGTTCATGACTCACGGCTTCCAGTTTTGGGATGGTGACAGAATCTAATGCTGTCGAGCTGTCCACGTGTGTGGGATGGTCTGCTCCCTCCTTTGCAAAGGGAGCTCAGGTAGCTGTGCCCCCTGCCGTCACCTGCCCAATTCTTGTCTCTTGCCACCTGCTCTCAGTCCTTGCAACCCCTGTCTACGTTACAAGTTACTATTTGTTGTCAGAAGTGGTGTTACAAGTCAGATAATTATGCTTGTCCAGGTAGTGCCTGAAGTAGGGGTAGCTGACCTTGGGTGAGCCCCTTAGCCTCTCTGGGTCTGTTTCTACCTCTGTCTAATGGAGAGGAGGAGAGTACCTATTCAGGAATATTGTAGAGCTTAAATGAGTGAATGTGTATACATGTGTATACGGCAGTTTCCGCCACAGGGGAAACGTGCATAGCTCTCAGTTGAGATTATACCTCTGAAATCCCCGTGTGGCTTTTAAATCCTGGCTGTCCAGTTCCTACCGTGGCTTCCTAGAGCACACCTTCCAGGGATGGGGCCCAGGCTCATGTATATTTTTAAAGCCCACGGTTGCTTCTGATGCATATTGTTGGTTAAGAACCACAGAGTCTTGCCTTTATGTAGTGTTTGGGCTGTTCGGTATTATTCTCCCTTCCTTGGTTCTTAGCCCGGATGCAGTTTGGGCTGAGCACGTAAATAAGTAGCCTTGGGAATGGGGACACTACACGAGTCCTGCATCTCTCCCTTGCTTTTCAAGGAGGTATTTGCACGTCCATCCGTCCATTCACTCGTTCTCAGATCTGTCTCAAATGTCTCTTCAGTGCAAAGCGTTGGGAACATGGTGTTGACCAGGACGGCTGACATTGGAGTGAGGCGCACGATAAGAAAACCATGCGGGTGGTCCCCAGCTTAGGACTGTTTGACTTCACAATGGTTTAGCGCATTCAGTAGAAAGCGTACTTGGAATTTTGTATCTGGATCTTGTCGCCCGGGCTCACGACCTGTGGGCCCATCCTGTCTTGTGATGCTGGGCGGCGGCCGCCGCTCCCCGTCAGCCACGCGATCACGAGGGTCACAGATGCCACCTGCATCGTCTGTCACTGTCAGTGCCGTAGTCAGGTGATTTTGTCCAGCGGGAGGCTCACGTCGGTGCTCTGAGCGCGCTGAAGGTGGGCTGGGCTACGCTGTGGTGGCCGCTAGGTGAGGTGTGTGAAATGCAGGCACACTCTGAGCTGGAGCCAGTGGGCTAAGCTTTAGCTTTGTAAAATGAATGGAGGAGCACATTTGCCTGGGGTTCCTTACACCCTTGAAGTCTAATAGGAGTTGGTTTACAGGGTTTCAGTAGTGAGCCGCGTGTGTGACACGGGCATGCCTGCTACGTGACCCTGGTCACAATAGCCCCCGGCAGGGAACCGGCTGGAGGTGCTTGGCGGCCACAGCCTCCGGGAGGCAGAGAGCGGCGGAAGCTGGGAGAGTGGGCCTCCTTCAAGGGGGATTTCAGCCACGAGAGTCATCCATGCCCTTGCGCGGCGCATGTCAGTGGTTCTTTGCATCTTCACAGGGTTGTCAAGGACCACCTCTGTCTAGTTCCTGCTGTCTCTGCCACCTCAAAGGGACACCCCTCCTCAGACCCGGCACCCACCGGTGTCTGTTGTCTCCTCGCGTTTGCCCGTGCTGGACGTTTCCTAGAGATGGAATCCCGTGTGGCTCTTGGTGTCTGGCCTCTTGCTTGGCCTCATGCTTTCAAGGCCCCTCCGCGCTGTGGCAACTGTCAGTGCTTCCTTCCTTTTATGTCCCAGCCACGTTCGGGTGTGTGGATCCAGCACGTTCTCTCTGCCCGCGAGAGGCCCTTCAGGGGCTGCCCTGCCCCAGGCGCTGGGGTCCCTTGGTGAGCGGAGGGGCGGGAACGCTGGGCCTGTCTTTGATCGTTTTTCCTGCTCCCGTCAGAGGTCTCTGCACTTTTACCTCAGGCACCGCACCGGGTCCCAGTTTCTCCCTCGGGAAAGTGGGGAAGGTCAGATGTGAATCTTCTGACAAACAAAACGAAACAAACCTGAAAATCGGTGATGCTAGTGGGAAAACAGACCAGTCTTGTGGGTGGCCGCGCGCTCACGCTCTCCCCCTCCCCCTCACGTGTATATTGGCTGCACCCAGACCCTCTTTTCCTAAGTCCAGCTGTGCCCTGAGCGTGGGTGAGGGAGGTAAGGTGGTCATTCCGGGTGTGTGGTGGCTGTTTCACACTTGTCCCTGCCCCCTCTCCCTGCCCAGCCCCGCCGTTCCTTCCCTTTAAGTAGGAGAACCCCTTCTTCTAATGAGCTCCCCTTTTATTTGCAGTGGAAATAAGTGCCCTCAAGCCAGGGATCAAATTTAGTTTACAAATAAGGTACCTTCTTCTTCTTCTTTTTTAATTTAATTAATTTATTTGACAGAGTGGGAGCGAGAGAGAGCACACAAGCAGGGGGAGCGGCAGGTGGAGGGAGAAGCAGGGACCTGATGTGGGGCTCGATCCCAGGACCCTGGGATCATGACCTGAGCGGAAGGCAGACGCTTAACCGACTGAGCCACCCAGGCATCCCACAAATAGGGTACCTTCTTAGCAGGGTCCTAGATCGGCTGGTTATTGGCTTGGGGACTTGAAAGTCACTCACTGTGTTTTGCTTTCTGCATGTTTTCCTGATTCGTTCCCACTCTCCCAGCTGAGTGCAGGTACTTGTGGAGTTCTGCTTTGTGCTCGCTTAGGCATTCTTGGCCGACCCCATCCCTCGTCCATATGATCTCTGGGGAGGCCACAAGGTGCCGCCAAAGGAAGGCGTTCACTGGTGCCTTCATGCTCCAGCGAGCAGAGCAGAAGCAGTATGCATTAGCCCATCAGTGTGGAAGTTCCAAGAACAGCTGCCTGCACAGCACATTCTGTCTTTGACCAGGGGTTTCAGGTTACTGGGTATTTTTACAGGATAGGAAATCACGTGGGGGAGTGGAAATATGGGAGAAGTAATTACGAGGCTACTCAGTAAGGAGAGAAAAGAACCAGGGGTAGGCATACCTAACTTTAAGGAAATGGGAAAAGCCAGATTTATACCAAAGAGAAATCAGGATGTTTGGAGAAGTGATGCTTCATGTTATAGAATCAAACAGCAGTTAGTCAGGAATAAAATATTTGCATCAAAGACAACAGTCAGAGGAGTAATGTCTTTCCAGTAGAAAGTACATTCAAATAATTTTCCCACACCCATGCAACATTGAGTCTTGGTTGTATTCATTTTCTTTCTTTCTTTTTTTTTTTTTTAAGATTTTATTTATTTTAGAGAGAGAGAGAGCATGCAAGCAGGGGGAGGGGGAAAGGGAGAAGGAGAGGCTTAAAATAGTAAACTCTTAGTGTCTCACAGTTTCTGTGGGTTGCATGTTCAGAAATGGCTTAGCAGGGTGGTTCTGGCTTGGGAGCCCTTCATGAAGTTGCAATGAGGATGTCGGCAGGGGCTGCATCATCTGAAGGATTGACCGAGGCGGGCAGTTCCACATCCAAGATGGTACACTCCCATGGAGTCCTCAGTTTCTCACCACGTGGCAGCTAGATCCCCCAGAGTGAGCTAGGTGGAAGCTGCCGTGTCTTCTAGGACCAAGCATCAGAAGTCACTTGTCTCCAGTGTCATGTTGGTTACCTGGCTCGGGCCCCATCAACGTGTGCAGACTCACCTGAGAACATGAGCACCAAGGACGGGGTTCAATGGGGTCATTGTGGTGGCCAGCTAGCACACCGTCCTGTTCCGTTATTGCCGTCTGGTAGGTGGAAATTCGTGTCTCGCTGTTGTCACTTATGTTTCTTCGATAGCGAGGCTGATCATTCTAATGTCTTAGGCTGACTTCCACATACACGCCCTTCCCTAGGAAGTTGAGGAAACCCACATCTGGGTGATGTTCTGGGCACCCGTTTCCAACCTGCGTTTAAGCCATGTGAGTTTTCCTCCTTGTCTGTGACTGAGAGCCTTTCTTTTAGGGTTGTCTCTACCGCCTGTCCCTTTTCTCTTCCCAGGGGAAGGCAAAGAGGAAATTGTGAAGGTGACGTTTGAAGAGTTGCGGCAACAAGTAGCTTTGTTTGCAGCAGCGATGAGGAAAATGGGCGTGAAACAAGGAGACCGGGTGGTCGGTAAGTGTTTTTGGTTCTTGTTGTGGCCTGCGGGGGAGGAGACTGGGGCAGAGTGACTGGCTTGGAAGGTTGAGGGCACTTTTGGACAAGATGGCAGATTACATGCAGCCTCATAGGACTTAAGCGATCCTTGCTTGGTGGAGGCTAGATGCACGAGGAAGGTCATGGCGCAGGGAGAGGGCAGGGGAGTCCTGGCAGGAGGGACAGCCTATGGAAAGGCCCTGAGGCGCATGGGCGCAGGGCACCTGCGGGGCTGACAGGAGTGTGGTGGGCTGGGTGTGCAGGGCAGGCGGTGGGGTTGGCAGGGACTGTCCTTCTGGAAGGGTTGGAATCCTCAGACCTGAAAGGGAGGCCTGGCTCCTTCTCCCTCCCCGAGTCCCCGCCTTCCTTTGTTCTCTCCTAATCGGGTGGTGAGTCATGATTTCCCACCTAGAGCAATTCAGGTTCTTTCTTATAGTTTTCTTTTCACTTTGACTTTTGGAGAAGGTTTAAAGGCCTGTGTGTGGACCTGGTCTCCACTGCAAGGCACTGTAGTGAATTGAGATGTGGGTGGGTGTGTCCCCGGGGGCCAGCAGCGGGAGATAAGAAGACTTATCGTCCCTGCAGGCCGGGTGGTGTGCAGGCCGGGTGGTTGGGGTGCTAGCCCGCCTCCCCCGCCCCCATGGTGGTGGGACTGGGGCCACGGGGCAGGGGTGGCAGTGGGAGAAGCCGCTGCTGGGCCTCTCCCTGGGGAGCTCACAGCAAGTGGGTGTTCAGCGTGTGTTTGCAAAGAGGGTGGCCTTATCATGTGTAAACCGAGGAAAGGGCTGTACCCATGTCTCCGCTGATGGCAGCTGGGCACGGGGTCCATGCTTGCATGTTAGTTGACTAGCACCAGATAGTAGGCACGCACCAAGTTGCCTCCTCTCTTACTCAATGGGGCCCGCCCGTGGTTGCTCGCTGCCGGGAGGTTCCTGCGAGCCCACGGAAAACCCACCACCACTCTCTCCCCACATGCTGCTTTTGTTCTGTTGTTGTCCTTAGAGACCGCCTGAAATCTTGGGATTATTTGTGTGCATGCCTGCGTCTGTCTGTCTGTCCTCCCATACCAGAGGACCGGGCTTGGTCTTCTGTTCACTGCCGCGTCTCTGTCCCCAGGGAGGCGGGCGCACAGCGGGTGTATGATGAACACGGAGTGAGCGAATGTGGGTGTGGGGCCCATGGTCACAGCAGGCATTGCGTGGTCGAAGCCTCAATATCTGGGGTTCTTCTTCCAGTTTAGTCTACCCTTTCGAGGTCTAGAAAAGGATTTCAGAAGATCCTTTTTCCAATTTTCACTTAAAAAAAAAATCTCTCTTTGAAGCAAACATTTTCTGAGAGAAGGAGAAATGGAGAACCGGGTGTGTCGGGGAAGACGGCTGCGGGGCCTCTGGGGACACCCGACTCTGCAGTCAGGCTGGTCCCCGGTGACCCGCCCCCTCGTGAGTGTCGCAGCGTGGACACTAACTTGACCTGTCCATAGTTCCAGGCCCCCGGGGGCTGTGTTTCCCTAAGAGGGCGTGAGGGAGTGACTCCCTGGGAGAGGCTTGAGGGGCTCCTGAGACTGAGTTGGGGCTGCTCGTGGGGCACTTACTTGTCTGTGACATGCTCATCTCTTGGCCCTCTGTCGGCCTCCACCAAGTTTGGGTGTGCAGCCTCCCGGGGGTGGGCCCCGTCCTGCCCTGGGGACCTCACGGTTTACACAGTAAGCTCAGTAGGCCCCCGTGGGCCTGCCTGTGGCAGATGCTGGGCGCAGCCCTGCCCTCGGGGATGCTCCTGGCCCAGCAGGGAGATACAGCGAAGCCAAGGGAGCGGGAGTCCTGAGTGCTGTGGTCACGTAGGCCCCTGAGAGCAGAGGGGAGGGAAGCAAGGGGGGCGCCGTGCTCAGGGCCCTGGGTGCTGCGACTGCAGGGCTTCTGTGGTCACTGGGGGGTTGTGATGGGGGGGGCACTGGGCCATGGCCCCCCTGCTCTCTGATGACTTGTGCCTGCTCCTTTCCTCTGGAACATTTAGGTTGATCTGTTTAATGGACCACAGTCTCTCTGGCCACAAAGAGTCTCTGCCTCTGTTGTCATAAAAGCCCAGCCTCTTGCCAGATGGCGGGTCTACGCTTCTTCTCCTCCCCTTACAGTCTCGTGACTGTCCTGCTCATCGTCTTCATTCCCCTGTTGCCTCTCCTTCCTTCCCCATCTATCCCCCTGTCTGTCCGTCTTTCCTTCCATCCATCCATCCATCCATCCATCCAGCTGCCAGCCAGCCAGCTCACTAATATGAAGGCCTTGATATGCAGGGCATGGTAGAAGGCACTTGGTTAAGCAAAGAACAAGACAGGCAAATCCCTGCTCTCACGTGAGAATCAGATATAAAAATGCCAGTTACGACTATTAGATGTAGGTGATTATTAAGGTTAATTTGGTGAGGGAAAAATAGAGTGTGCTTTGTGGGGACCAGCCAGGGAACCCGAGTTTATCGGGTGACCTCGGAGAAGGTGTCTCTGAGAAAGTCTCATTTGCATTAAGAGCTGAGCGATGACTTTGCAGAGTCAGGAGGGCTCGTGTGCATAAAAGAGTGGTTAGGCAGAGCAGACAGCCTGTGCAAAGGCCCCGGGGCAGGAGGAGCTTAGAACGACTGGAGAACTGAAAGAAGGTTGTGACTGAGCCCAGAGTGGGAGGCGGGGTGGAGGGAGAGGAGGCTGGGCCGGATCCTGCAAGGGCTGTGGGGATCACTCTGGTTAGGTTGGGTTGGAGGGGGTGACATGGATAGCCTGGTGGTAAGTGGTAGGGCCTTGTGAGTGGGAGATGTCCAGGCACTGGGGTGAGGTGAGGCTGGCCATGCTCCTTGGATCAGCCAGAGGCAGCCCTTCTCCCCACTCCTGCCCTGGCTCTCAGAAGTACCTTTTGGAGGTCCGCCGCGTCCAACATACCCTGAACCCAAGCCTTTCTCCTGGTGCCCAATTACAGGTTATTTACCCAACAGTGTGCATGCCGTGGAGGCCATGCTGGCTGCAGCGAGCATCGGTGCCATCTGGAGCTCCACGTCCCCAGACTTCGGTGTGAACGTGAGTTGGGGTCCCCACTGAGTGCCCTGGGGGTGCGGCCACTGCGGCAGAAACCTTCCCGTGTGATTTCCGCAGGGGAGGGCTCTGTCCACCTGACATCTTGGGTAGGGGCGCGGGTGGCTGTGCCGCAGGACTGGCGGGGCTGGAAGGCGACAGTGTCACCGTGGCCTCCCATCTCATGGCCGGTGACATGAGAATGATGGGAGAGAAGGAGCCAGAAGGAGCGGAGTCTTGTTTTTCAATCTAAAAACAAATGAGTCTTCCTTCTTTCTTATGTTACTAATGTCCCGTCCGTGTGTACGGACTGCATTAGTGTGTGTTCTGTGTGACAGATGGCTCTTGGAGATCTAGCTGGAGGGGTCTGGTCATTTGTCCGTGTATCCATGACCACGGAAGATTTCCTGTACCAAACCCAGTCGTCTGGGTTTGCTCACAGAGGTTCCCCCGAGGCCTCCCTGCCATTTTTGATCTCTTACTTTGGATCTGTGTTCTCTGTGGGGGAGGAGGGCGGGCCTCTTTCTTTCTGTGAACCCTGCAGGGACCCAGGACCTGGGGTGCATCCAGCCGCTGGAGTGACCCAGGCAGGGGCAGGCAGCTCATGCTCAACCCCACCGTGGAGGATGAAGCAGCAGCAGAACAGGACTTCCCCGGGGCCCCAGGGACCTTTCCTGGTTGCAGAGCCTTGGGGACGAGGGGCTGTCAGGAGCCATGAGGACAGACCCCAGTTAGAGGAGCCGGAGGGCATCCATGACCATCATCCACTCTTTCTGGCGTCGGGCTGCTCCGCTCTCGTCACAGCCCCTGCTCCGGGCACTGGACCATGTAGCTCAGTGGCTGAAGGTTGGCCTGGCCTTGCCGGCGATGTGCCCCTGGGTCAGCTGTTTATCCTCTCGTGCGAAACAGGGGCCGTGGGGAGAGAGAGGGTCATGAAACAGGTACAGGAGGCTCGGGCCCGGGATTGGCACACCTCGGCTGCAGGTTCGGCCACTGGCAATGTTGGAGCTCAGTACTCTATGGTCGGCGCGTGTCTTGGCTGCAGGGTGGGTTTCTGGGTATGAGCTTGAAGCTCACGTCTGCCCTGGGGCTTGCTGTTCTGGTGAAGGTGGTCCAGGTACGTTGCATTTCCCCCACGCCGTGCGAAGGAGGAACAGACACGCTTCTCTGGCCCAGGGGCCTGGAGAAGTAAGTGAGCGGCTGAGGCTGGGGTGAGGACCCAGCTCTGCTGAGTTCAGGGAGGGGTGGCCGCCCCAGACTGGAACTCTCCATGTGGGCTCTCCAGTGCCCCAGGCTGTCCGCGAGCCTGTGTGAGCTGCTTGGGGCTAGTGGCGTCCTCACGGGAGGGAGGGTCGCAGAAGGCCGGCGCCGGTCCCTGGGCACTGTTCCCTCGGATCCCGCCCTTGAGGTGGGTTGCTCAGAAGCAGGGCTGGGAAGGCAGTGCGGCATATGGTGGTTCCTGCCCGGGTTTGGGTCTGGCTTTGCTGCTTCTGGCCATGGCCTCAGTGCACACTGGGGAGCTGGTGAGGACTGCAGAATTATTGTGAGTGTGGGGTCGGGGGCAGCACTGGACGCACCCACCCAGGTCGGTACGTGTTAGCTGTTATCCAGGAGTTGGGTGTTGTTGAGTGACATCGGGGATTTTGAGCCCGTCTGGAAGATGTCGGGAAAGCTGTGTGTGGCCCAGGGGGTCAGGCGCGGCCTTCTGGGGCTGGAGCGAAGCCCCTGCCTGAAGACCTCCCTGAGAGCAGAGCTCCTGATGGTCCCAGTGGCGCGTTGTGCCTCTGGGTGCACGGGGGGGGTGGGGTGGGGGGAGGACACAGGCAAACGTCCAGCCACCTCCCGGCTGTTCTCTCCACGGTCTTCTCTCCCGGATCATCATCCTGTCCAGGCCGCTCTGCTGGTGCCGGTGTGCGCTAGATGGCAGCCTGGCTCCGCTCTCTCCGCAGCCTGCAGCACGCCCGGGTCTGGGGAAGGCCGGAGTCTCGGGGGAGAGCGCTCCCTGCGGTCAGAAAACGACAGGCCAGCCGCCTTCCCACTCAGGTGCTTCCCTCCGCCCCGAGTTCCGGGAAGCTTTCTGGGAAGCTGTCATCTGCATCCTGCCTCCGGTGGGCGCAGCTGGGCGTGTGTGCGATCCAAGCTGCCGTGCGCCCCTCCTTCCACCTCTTCCGCATGTCTTCATTCTCAGCTTGGAGCCCGACACAGTTGGGCGTGGGGGTGTCGCCAGGCGGGGAGAGTGCTCTGTTTCCTGGGTCTCCAACCTTCCAGCCTCCCCCAGACCTCCAGGTCCTGCATTTTTTTGGCATTTTGGTTTTTTTTTTTTTTTTTTTCATTTTTTTCTTTTGAGTCCAGTGGCTTCTCCGCAGATGGGTGGGGGGTCCAGCCCCTGACATCCACGCATCCAAGCACCGCGCCTGCACCCTCATGGCGTTTTCAGGTCACCATGCGCGCAGAACGGGGCAGCTGTCCCTGCCCAGCTGGCTGTCCACGGGACGCCACGCCTGGCTGGTGGCGAAGCGCTGCAGCAGGCCGCACGCGCCATCCCAGGTATGCTGCGTCACTGCCGAATGAAGGCAGCTGTGGTGCGGGCGGCTCTCCTGGACTGGCTCAGAGCTTCACCTGTGCTTCCCCAGCCAGGTCGGCGTCCACCTGGGGCCTCCGAGTCTGTCCACAGCCCGGCCCAGACCTCTGATTCGGAAGCACTGTGGTCTTTGCCGTATGCAGGCCGGGTCCTTTCATCCGAAGTTTGTTGCCACCTTGCGTGGGGAGAGCAGGAGAGGCGCTAGGTGTCACCACATCTCAGCTCCCTTCCAGGGCTCCCCCAGGCCTGCTCTGTGCAGCCCCTCCCCGATCTCAAGCCTTGCCCCCGGTGCCCTCTGCCTACGAACAGCCTCGTTCCCTGGGTTGTTCCAGCCTGAGCTTCCCTCTTCCTCCTCCTGCTTCGGTCTGCCCGGGATCCAGCCCTGTTCTCTGCTGCTGCCCTTTGGTTTCCTGGCCCACGGGCGAGTCTTCCCTAGTGGAGGCGGCCCCACGGTTAAGAGCCCCAGGCTGCAGGCCCAGCTGTGTCACTGGCTGGTTGGGAAGGCTGGGTGACTGACTTAAGCTGGCGCTGCCTCCTCAAGGACATCGAGCTGCCCCGGGGGTGTGCAGGCCAAATGTGTGAGCGCCCGTGGCAAGCCAGAGTGGTGCCTGGCACACAGCACTCCGTACGTGGTAAGGGATTTTTATTGGCAAAAAGTTTATTCCTAGATAAACCAGCAACTCTCAGCCCATCTTAGAATCCTGAGCTTTAAAAATACTATCTATTTTGCTATAAAATAGCAATGTTTGTACATCACCACAGTGCCTTTTATCCACCTAATGGTTTTCCTGGTGATCCTCAGGAATTTTCTGCATAGCTTTTCCCCTTACATGCACAGACGAGTCACCCGGGTCTTCACCTTTCTGGTTCCCACCTCCCCACAGTGTTGAGGACTGGGATTTTCTTGGGAAATCATGGCTTCACTGCTTGTGCTCTTGGAGTAACCTGGCTGTTGGTCGTGAACCGCTGCACAAGGGAATGGAAGGGCCGTTCTGGGCGGTATCTTCCCAGGCACCGTGTTTGTGGATGAAGAGGGCTCTACCCTGGTCTGAACTTGGGGGAGACCTGGCCTTTCCCTGTCACCCCTGGGAGAACACTCAAGTTGTGGGGAGTGTGTCGTGAGGCTACTCCTGTCAGTTCCCATCACTTCACGTCAGTTCCAGAAACAAGGGGTTACCTGCATGGGAGGCATGCCTTCTTGCGGAGAGAGAGGTGTGCTTGGCAGGATGGCGGGTTCCACGTGTGGTATAAACAGATATGTGGCTGTGGTGAGCCTGCCTGTTGTATTTATTTATTTATTAAAAAGATTTATTTGTTTTATTTTTTAATTTTTAATTGTTATGTTAATCACCATATATTACATCATTAGTTTTTGATGCAATGTTCCATGATTCATTGTTTGTGCATAACACCCAGTGCTCCACGCAGAATGTGCCCTCCTTAATACCCATCACCAGGCTAACCCATCCCCCTACCCTCCTCCCCTCTAGAACCCTCAGTTTGTTTTTCAGAGTCCATCATCTCTCATGGTTCGTCTCCCCGTACGACTTACTCCCCTTCATTCTTCCTCTCCTGCTATCTTCTTCTTTTTCTTTTTTCTTAACATATGTTGCATTATTTGTTTCACAAGTACAGATCTGTGATTCA